AATCCCATTAGCTCAAAGATTTTCACAGTAGCGCTTCAAAGTGTGATAGAAGCAGCTGACCTTAATGAAGGAATAAATATAGATGGATATACACTCACTGAACTCCAATTTTGCTGATGACATTGCACTGGTGACAAGTTCAGTATCAATGGAAAAACAACTAAACAAATTAGATGCAGAAAGCAAGAAAGTAGGCCTTGTACTACACAGAGGCAAGACCAAGTACATGACATATTTCAACACAAATTCAGTATTGAAATTAGGAAATGATGACATAGAGCACAGGTGGGCAAAGTGCTGCCCGAAAGTGATTTTTTTTTTCGGCTTGCGAAAATAAATTAAAAACCCTATGTGTGCTCTTTGGCTAGAAAAACCTTGTTTTTTACCGACCGCCACCGATTATCTGTAAAGTGTAATATTAAAGCTGAGCAAAACCCTTTAAAAAGTAGTCTGTGAAGGTTTTTGGATGTGCAATGGAAACATCAAAGTTTGGGTGCAGCCCTCGGTGTTAACTCAAAACTTCACTTTGGCCCTCCGACCCATTTCTATGCACTAGGCCTAGAATACTCATTATAAAGAATAGTGACATAGCTGGACCAGACCTTGTGCTGAATAATTAGACATGAAGTTACAGTCTACTAAAATACCAGCCCAGTAATTACTGTTGTATTAAATAAAGCCTATTGAAAATGTATTTTATGACAAGTATTGAATCCAGATTTTGTATCTTGTACTGAACAGGCCAATGTAGAGTAACTGTCTGCCTAATCGAAGAAAACCTTTAACATTATTTGAAAACGAATAGCTTATTTAAAAAGGAAAAGAATCAAATAAATAACATTTTACTACAGAAACCCTGTTGATGATTATTAGTCAAATGAGTCCATGCAATAATGATTTTTTTCTAACTGGCTGTTAACAGTGAACTATTTTTTTCTCATTCAAAACTAAAAACTAAAACTTTAAAATACTTAAACAATTCAAATACTGAATTGAACCTTTCAATTTTTCTCTCATGGCAGAGTGCAAATAAAGAAGGGTGTCAATTTATTTTTGAAAATAAAGTATATCAATAAAACAAAGATGCTAGATTAGTTATAACAGGCCAGGCGATAGACAAAAGATGAACAAACCAACAAATCACCACGGTCTCAATTCAATTTTTATTGCTACATTAAAGTCATATTATACGCTCAAAACAATACTATACAAAGGGAACAAGAATAATGTTTTATTTTAGGGAGATACACAATAGTGTTGAAGTATAGGACGATCCCTCTGAGTCAGCCTGATTAGGAAAAACCATGCATTGTGTTGAAGCAGCATAACAACAATCAATGAGCTTGTGTCTATTTCTACATAAATAAAATGTTTACAGGCAGTATATATGATTAAATAATGAGTGTGATGTATCTGCGTGCAAATGCAAAACATACAATTCGCTACCAGTCATCCTTCCTTGTCAATATTAATAATTTATAATTTTTTAAATGTTTAGGCCTAGGCTAGGCCTAGCCTATATTCCAGCCTAGCCTACCCTAAAGTTTAGGCCTAATCCAGCTAGCACCTAGGCCCTTATTAGGTAGCCTAGGTTTAGCGAGGCAAGGCCTACTATATGTATGATCATTCATCCATACACTGTTTATTACAGTTAATATCCTTTTTTTGCTCCTTCCTGCAATACAAACAAATGCTTCTTGCTTAATATGTTGGATACTCTAAAGCCAAAGGATCTCTCAGTTGGGACTAAAAACTTAGACCTAGTGTGCATGACATGATCAACAGACGTGACATAGGAAAAGAGACAAAAACATGTGCAAGAAAAATAAACACTGCTTCTCTAGACTGTACATTTTATGATTTGTTAATTTTGTTCTTGATTTCAGGCACCAAACTACCATGTGGCCTTTGAAGTTGTTTTAATTATGCTTATTATTTGGCTGCTTCTGTCCAAGAGCTACGTTATAGAAAATGTACAAGGGCTCTCCAAGGAGGTTGGTCACATGATATTCTGAAGTATCATAAACTTAAATTGATTAATCAAATTATGGTATATTATAGATGTTGTTATGTTATATTGCCATACAATTTTCACTACAAGTGTCTCAGTTGGTAACAATTCGTAGGATGTTCTTTTTGGATTATTTTTTTATTACAATACAATTTTCTAAACTAAGTGAAACAACAGACCATTTGACCAGTCCATTGTTTACATATGAAGTGAGTTACATATACATACTGTAATTATTGTTCTCTGCAGGAAGAAGATAACCTTATTGAAGAATGGACACCAGAACCATTGGTTCCAGACACACCAGAAGACCATCCAGCACTCCACTTCAGAACAGTTACAAAGTGAGTTCTTTGAGCTCTGACAACTGGCTTTTAAGCAATTATCAAAAGAAAGGTGAATTTCATTGTGCAATGCTTTTCTTTTTTACAGACAATCTGGTCCTTGGTTGACTGTCGATGGAAAGAAAGGAGTAAATCTAGCCACATTTAATTTCCTAGGAATGGTTGGCAGAGAAGAGCCAGTGGTATGACTCCAATTGTTGTAGTTGTCATTATCATCATCATCATCTTCATCAATCAGTCAATCTATTGCATTGCCATTAATAGGAACCATTATCCTTATTTTTACCGGCATAATCATAATTTGTATTGTAAAAAAGATATACAGTACTGAATTTACTGACATTATTAAAGTTAAATCCTAATTATGCAGTACTTGGCCACTTTCATTCATATCATTTATATCCCACCCATCTACCCACTCATGGGTGGAGAGATACGAATAGATAATACTTGACCACTTTCATTCATATCATTTAAAACCCACCAGCAGCCCACTTCTGGGTGGAGAGGTAAAGTGTGAGCTGCATGAAGTAATGTAGTTAAATTTAGCACTTCATACCATCTCGAAGCACTCGAGGTGTGGACTACTTGTACAGTAACTTGCTGCTGGCATAAGGGTCTCTTTGTATCTGAGCTATCCGGTAATACAGTATCAGCTACTCTGTTTTGTCTACAACAAGGGCTGCATGGACCAGTACACTAGAGTAATCCCCTATTTGGCTCAAAAGTTGTACTGGGTTCTTTAAATTGCTCAATCAGTGCCGATATTATGTCTGTACGTTGCAGTGCTCCTGCCTTAACCACTTGACCATTCTATTTGCCCAAATTGATACCAGAGTTAGTCATTGTATTTCTTTAGTGTATTGTTACATTATATATCACTTAGGAAACTGCAATTAGGGCGTTGGGTAAATATGGAGTTGGATCCTGCGGCCCGCGTGGTTTCTTTGGCACAATGGGTGAGTAGTTTGATCTTAGTTGCTTGTTGTCCATTGAACAATCTAACAGCATAGGTCTCTAATAATAACCATCCAAATTAAGACCACTTTTCTGTAGCTTCCTGATGAAAAACAAATGCATTTCATAAATATAAATAGTTCAAACCACGACAAGTTTTGATGGTTCATCCATCATTATCAAGTGGGAGGATTGGATTGAATTGGATTGGATATATTCAGTGTAAACATCAAGGATAGCCCACAAAAGTCTAGAAGAAGACTTATTTCCAGTGGGGTCCTTCTGGTGGTGATTGGACAGATCACCCTGGGAGACAATCCCCTACTCTTTTCCGAAGAGTGTACTGTGTTCTTTAACGTGCACATGGGCCATAAATGCACACAGGACCAACGGCTTAAACGTCTCATCCGAAAGACGGTGCGCTATTGTAACTTGTATTTCAGCCCTCTATTTGAAATACAAGGAGAGGCAGCGATGGGAATTGAACAAGGGACCTAGAGATCTACTGCTAAACACTATTGGCCGTATTTATTAAATGAATTATGGTCAAACTTCGGACTAGAACTTATCTAGTCTTAGTTGCCAATTAAACTTCAATTTGTATTCATGAACACTGTAGTCAAAAGTTTTAACTACAACTTAATCAAGCCCTTAATTGTAGTGGAGCTGAAGACGGCTGTCAAGCAATGACTATCAAACTAATCAGTGATCCGGTAACATGGATAAATATTAAGCTGCCGTCTGTATTTTTCAATTCATTCAATTCAAATTTATTTCAAAAACATATTTCCTTTAATTCATAATAGACCATCATTTGCTTAATTAATTTTCTATAATAAACTATATTATAACATTCACTGAAAATTTGCTTTCTTTGGATAACTATTATAGTTGAGCCCAAGTAAGGGCGGCGCCATCCTTGTTGATAGGGGGAAGATACGTAACCGTAGCATGAGGGGATTTTGTGCAAATTCAGGAACTATTGCATGTGGCTGGCATAACATGCTAATTTTGCCTTTTGGAAGCTAAACTTAATGTTGCTTTTCTTGAACACACTGAAGTTACATCAGACCTACTTATACAATTGTTTTTATTCTTTTTACTCTATTGTAAGTTACAAAAAGCACTTTCTCAGTCGGGTAAATATTTCAAATTTCAAATTCAAATTTTATTTTCGGATGAACATAAATTTCAAGTCTGCGATTTAGTCTGACCCTAGGCTGACTTAAATATTGGCCTGCGGAGGTATCATTTTAGTCGAGGTTCGTGGACCAAATTTATGTTAGCATACATTAGTTAGTTTTCTTCCCTGTCTTTTTACCTTATTTTTTACCTTTGCTTAATTAAAATTTATTGAGTGTTTTTAATTATGATATTGTAACCTTTTGTAAATTTTATTATCTTTCAATTTGTTTGTAATTTTTTTTTTCTCGTGTACTTTTTATATATTTATTTTCTAATGTATTTTAATGTACTGTACAAATCAATGCAATTCAACTTCTTTTGGAAGTTGCGAATATGATTTTAAATGAACTTGAACTTGAAGCATCCACTTAAATGGCAAGTTTTATGGAGGTTTAACTTTTTAATTGGCAAGAGGGGATGAAAAGCATTACTTTTATTATTATTTCAGATGTTCACTTAGAGCTTGAGAAGGAGTTGGCTAGTTTCTTAGGTGTCCAAGCTGCTGTGCTTTATTCTTATGGTTTTTCAACTATTGCCAGTGCTATACCATCATATTCAAAACGTGGTGATGTCATTTTCTGGTGAGTAAATTTGATCATACCCTGTAAAGTGACATGATAATAAGTAATACCACTAGGTTGTTAGACCTTAAAATGTTCTTAACCAAAAAATATATTAAAAAGAAAAATAATTCTGCATTAGCAGTTATAAATTAATATAAATACTGATCTTCACTGTATGTAAAATAATTTTATAAGAAAATGGGTTTCTTTAGGGTGCATCTCTTGGCCTGGTGTTTTTCTGACTGAAAATCTAGGTCTATATTCTCGAAAGCAGATTAACTTTAATTAATCCTGGCATCTGGTCGGTGGCAGGATAAACAAAAAACAAAGTTAATTGCTGTGATTATATAAGCATTTAGCAGCAAAGTATATTTCTTGATGAACAAAATGTAAGAAGTTCAAGTCTCTGAGGTTATGGGATATCACGATCCATACAACATTTTGTCATTCTACGTTGGACAACATTGACAGAAATAAAATTATAAATAAATAATAAATATGTCGAAAAAGATTCGATGAGTGAATAGGTGAATAAATTTAATGTTTATTTAAAAATGGAAAAATTTAAAAAGGAAAAAAAAAAACAACTCCTAAATGAATTCCGTGACTCAGGATCTGGAGATGCGCACTATTCAGGAATATTATTGCCAGGACAAGCAAATTCCAAGTCACGCTCACAAGGCAGAAAGGCTATAATATAACATATTGGAGCAACAACAAAAAATACAATAAATCAGTGCAATCATGTATAATTGACATCATGAATGGGCTCTAATGAACTTAATACATAAACATAATAGAAATTGTTTATATTTCCTCTTAAAAATGGCCAATGAATTTAATTTAAGCTGTCAGTCAGGACAATACATATAGCATTAAGGCCAGTATATTTCAATTTTCTTTGACTTAAGTCTAATTTTAACTCTAGTATTGTAATCGTGTTGATACAATTCTTTTTCAAACACCAGACTAGTATTAAGATCGTGCATGACAGTACATGGCAGTACCAATTTGATACAAGATAATATCTTGGATTTTAAGAAGTCTATATGTAAGGAAGACATGCAATACACTGTCTGTTTGTGTTTGTGTTATTACACAAATGGCTTTTCTTTCTTTGAAGCTGCTTAATTTCACACAAGTATGATTCATATGTGCATCCCATACAACAGTGCAATAATTTGAAATTGGTTAAAAAAATGATTTGTAAATCAATGGTAAAGCGGGGAGAAAGTGTCTTACTTTATATAGTATACCAATATAATGTAATAAAATAAGATTATGAATGTAATATTAAGAAGTAAAAGCAAAGTCTTCTATGAAATGTGTTGTGTAACAGGTAAGGGTGTTTTAAAAGTGGTGTAATGAAGAGTTTTGGATGCCCCTGGCATTAACAAATATTTAAGATATTAAAATTGGTAATGTATTTTAATTTTTAAGTGATAAGGGAGTGAATTTTGCAATCCAAATGGGACTGTTAGCCTCAAGAAGTACAATACATTTCTACAATCACAATGATATGGACCATCTAGAGGCACTTCTCCAGAACCAAGCTGAGGAGGACAAGAAGGTAAACAGTATAAACAAAATTACAAAAAAATTATGATATGAAAAAAAGATATTATTGGAATAATTATATTATAAACATTTTAATCTTTAATCATAGTTTCTCAAGTTTGATTTATTGCATATATTCATTAATTTTTTTTATAACTATTGTTGACTGTTTTCAGAACCCGAAGAAAGCGAAAGTAACCAGACGCTTTATAGTGACTGAGGCTTTATTTGTCAATTATGGTGATATTGCCCCATTGCCTAAATTAGTGAGTGTATTAATTAAACACTGTAAATATTGTAATAAACTATTTTATTCCAGTATTTCAGTTGATCACATATTTAAGTAATGTATTGGTTTTCAATTCAAAAATATTTTCCTTTCCAATTAAGAGATGCATGAAAGCTTATCATTTCTGTGTTCTTTGCTTAGACACTTAAATTAAAGGATTTTTCAAATAAAGTAATTTGTAAATCAACTGAACTAAATGTGTTGCAACAGAAGTTCATAATTTATTAATTGTAATTAATTATTAAATCTTTGAATCTAATTTTTTTTGGCACATTCAGTTACTAACCATTTCTGTGGATCTAGTTCTTACTAGAATGCTTCATACGCAAGAGGCTTGGTGTAAAACTAACGATTGCGTTTTTGCTACACCAGTCAACCTTTTGTTTGTGTACGCGCATACTTGCAAGTGGTTAAAATTTTAATCGACTGCACATAGCTTGTTCACATTACAGCACAATGAAACGCAACTAATGCGTTACTTGCTTAGAACCAATGCGTCTAATTTGCTCTAGTGTGAACAAGATTAATGGCGTGCGTAGCTGTCTCTTATACACATCTAGATGTGTATAAGAGACAGATATATGTATGTATATGTATATATGTATGTATATATATATATGTATATATGTATATATGTATGTATATATATATATATTTTTTTTTTGTATATAACAGAAAATTAAAATACATACATTTGTCTCTTTCCAGGTTGAATTTAAGTTTAAGTACAAGGTTCGCATATTTCTGGAAGAAAGCTTGTCATTCGGTGTTCTTGGAAATTCAGGAAAAGGTCTTACAGAATACTACAATATCCCGGTGAGTAGGGCTACAAACAATACCAATTACTTTTAGGGGAGTAAGGCTGTTCATCAAGGTGTCTTATGACATTGTGGGTGTCCTGGCTTCTGGTACCTAGAAGTACAATTTAAAGTGTTCTGAGGTATTTTGGATGTATGCCCAAAATTTTTAAAAAATAAAATAAAAGATTCCTTGGCATTCTGGCCTACATTCCACAGATCTTACAGCGCACCTATTTTTGATGGCGTCATCAATCAACGAATAATTGTAATGTCATAAACATGATTTGTGTACACCTGAAACTGCCCAGTGCAAAGTATTTTTACGATCCTTCTGATTGTCGGCAAAATCATTTGAAAAATTCTGAATTGGATTAGCCCCATACATACCTCTACTTTTCTATCAGTATACCTCATTCCTCCAGTGTTCCCAAGGCCTATGTTTTCAGTTTAGGAATGTCAAACATTTAATTATTAAGTTGTTGATAGGAAGAGCTGACGTTTCACATCTTGCACGCTCTCTCACATGCCTTATGAAGAATTTTCTAAGTTCTAATTGGAGGTGCATTAAAATTGATACTGTATATGGTTGAATGCTTTTTGCTTTGTAGGAATAAATTTGCCCTATTGGAAACAGGCTTTGGTGAAGTGAGTAGACCTGACAGATATGATTGTATTTTTCTCCTTAGGTGGAGCAAGTGGACCTGATATGTGCATCTTTAGAGAATTCATTTGGTACAACAGGAGGATTTTGCGCAGGAACCCAATACGTAGTGGATCACCAGGTAATAACTATAACACATACATTTTCCATTCTATTATATAGACTATATAATAATATATGGGCACATCACACACATTTGTCACATACGCTTTGACAGTGTGGACAGTTATAGCTTGAATATTATCAAGTAAAGAGTGCTTTCATTGATATGGTTGCATAAGTTAGTAAATTGCTGTTGGATTCTGGTTAAGCTCATAATTGTCGTAAAAAACGTCTCATTTTTTTGCATTTAGGTGTTATCGGGTAGTGGATATTGTTTTTCTGCATCACTTCCCCCACTGCTAGCATCATCATCACTTACTGCAATAGAACTTATAAAGAAAGAGCCGGAGATGTTCAAAACATTGCAAAGAAACACAAAGTTCATGCATCAACAACTAAACAAGTAAGGGTCATAGGTCATTTATTAATTGTAAGGCGAGACTTTTTATTCCTTATTTCGCGTACTTATTTTTTTAAAGATCATCGAAGGAGGATGGATTAAAAATAGAACTAAAAATTTGTTTTCTTATTTGGAAAATAGTTTTGCCAAAAACATCCAGACAGGAGAAAATAAAAATAAAATTTTATTGGTGAATGTAAAACATGATGGTTAAATGTTTCAAATTTATATATTAGGAAGAAATATACATATCTTATCTTTGAAGGTTTCAAGGCAGTGAAGGGCGTAATAAAGACAAAGAAAAGGTTTTATTTTTTTCTGAAATTTCCTCTTTTTCATGGTGGTGGGTGGACTAATTCGCCAAAAAAAAAATTTTATTTTTACTCGAAATCATCAATATTTGCAGTCGGTGGGTTCGCTAAACAAGGTATAAAAAAAGTCTCGCCTAATGGACACGTGCCACTTGTATAGTAATGTTGAATGATTTGATCTTTACTGTACTTGAGCAGGATTACATTAAAAAGAGCCATATGGATTTGATTGAATGTGTCCATTTACCATACCAAGGTAGTAATGTTACAGAGAGTCCCAGGAATGAGCTTTGGTTGTATTCACAAAATATAGCTGAAAGTGAGTGGAGTTGAATAGCTTGGTGGTTAAGATGCTTACCTTCCAATCCCAGGTCACAGTCTCTCAACCAAAACAACTCCCCTCCCTAAGACTCATAATGAGCCTTAGCTTATTAGTTAATATGTAGAACATCTTGTGTTTATGTTTGTCTTGTTAAAGGGTACACCACTTAGAATAGTGATTAAGTTTGCTGATTGGCACATTCTTGGCCTAAACCAATTAATAGTAATAATAATATCTGTAAATAATTGTTTATTTTAATAAGCATGTACCACTTTTCAATTGAGAGGTTGTGGGTTCACTCCCTTGGCCTCAAAAGGTTTATAAAGCATTGTGCCATTCTGTAAGTGGCAAGTGTTACTTACAATATATTTTGTTATTATTTAGCATTCCGGGTCTAAAGATTATTGGTGATGAGATATCACCAGTACAACATTTGTGTCTAGAAGAATCAATGGGAAGGCGTGAGGATGACATCAGAGTATTGCAAACCATTGTGGATAAGGTAAACTTTGATGTTTCTGTATATAGCATCATGCATTTGTTTATCTAAGTGTTTTATAATTCGTTCAATAAAGGCACATTAACAACGTTTGATGTTGGTGTAATACTGAGTGTAGAAAAACAATTGTAAAATGTGAGGTGTCACTCAATTTGACCTTGGTGATGCATACGTGTGACCAAAAACGTGTTGAAAGCACTGGCAGTGGCACTGGGTGGGCGTAGGCTTACCCAACAATTTTAGTGAGTGGGCCAACTCTTCTGTGGGCCCCACCGATAAATAATTTGCCAACAAATTGTTTGAATATTGATTTTGACAAAACTACAAGCCGATATTAGGGCAAAACTTGGCCCACCAGATGGATTTTTTTATTTTTTTATTTATTTGTTCAGGTGTATAATTTACAATCAACAGCGAAAACTGAATTTGATTACATTACAATATAAAAACATAAATACATTTTTAAAAGTGGCATTGAGATTGAAACACTTACTAAAGAACTAAACAATTGAAATTCAAAGTTAGAGTATTATTATTTTCTATTGAAAAAATATAAATTAAAAATATCAAAAATATATATCCCTTAGTTACACACATTATGTTTATCTTGTAATGTTGATTGCATTTTAACAATTCTCACAGAATGTAAAAAACTCTAACCCCGACCCCCTACTGGTCCAGGTTAGCAAATGCGTACCTGGCCCACCAAACATTCAAGCTGAGTTGCCTGTGGCTAAAGTGGTGGTTTTTTATAAGCAGGCATGTTAACATCTGTTGGAAGTTTAATATATGAAAATCATCCTAATTCTTACTTAATAATACAGTACCTTTTTAACTATGTTCTACAGTACTCTAGGCCTAAATCTGTGTAGCTTAGCAGTGAACAAGGTTATCTGTAAGTTACTACTACGGTCATCAGTCCATTACGTCCTTCAGCAGGCCAAGACCTAATTTATTAACTAAATTTAGGTATGCAAAAGGCAGCTGCCTAGCGTAGCCGTTGAGCCACCACACACCTTCAATTTGAAAATTACGAAGATTAATTAATATATGGTACATTATGGCAAGCCAATCATGTGACTTACGAAGTCAGTCATGCATACGATATCACACATCGAATTTGATGTGTTGAATCGTATGCATGAATGATCAGGCAGCGTTTGCCCAGGCCCTAATCCGAAAAAAAGAAATCGAGTATGGGATGCCAAATAAATTAGATATGGTACGCAATAATGAGTGAGTAACCCAAAACCTAGGTTAGGTATTTAAGTACATTGTACATTGTACTATGACACTATATCCGAGTTTCAGGCCATTTAATGATTAGTCTGTTCTGGATTTTACACTCACTCTCTAATACCGGGACTATCACGTCACTTTGACCCCCACCTTCGGGCATCCACGTAACTGAACTACTTCAATTCAATCTCGTTTTTAAGGTTCTCAACTTGGTAAAATGCATTTCAGTAAACTACATCCCAAATTTCCCTTTATAAACATTGTTGTTGACAATGTACTGAATTAATGAAGATGTGTTTTTGTTTTTTATTAATTTATTGTTTCATTTTAGACACTTGATAATGGCGCTGTATTGACAGTTGCAAGATATCTTGATGAAGAAGAGTTCAATCTACCACAACCAAGGTACTTCAACATTTATGCACTTACTTTGCTGGAATCTGACCTTCAATAAGAATTTGCTTGTAATTATGCATTGAACAGCTGATCTATTATATGGACCTGCCAAGAGCACATTATTTGAGAATGTAAACATTCTGAAACAT